GGAGCCCACCATCTCCCCAGCAGGGCTCTGGAGAGGTGTGATGTGTTCTCGCTGCCCCCCCGCCCGCCGGGATACCCGCACTTTCCCATCTCAGACAATGCATTTCCATTCCAGTCGTGTGCCTTTGTCCATTTGTAGGAAGAAAGGAGGGCTGAGTGACAGCTCCTGTTAGCCTGCATGAACAGATACCAATAAACCCTCCCAAAACCTGGACCTTAAAAAAAAAAATAAAATAAATAAATAAATAAAGAGGAAAGAGCAAGGCAGGGAGCCACATGCCTCTTTGCCTCCGGCTTATTATTAAGACACCTTCGCAGCTTAAACGCTTAAACGCGACCCAAATTAAATGGCAATTAAAAGCAAGTTACACCCTCTCCTATCTCCAGGCTTATCTCGGGTGGAAGCTAACCATCAGCAGAACCTCCCCGCCGGGCAGTGCCATTTGGGCTGGCATGTTGGAGGAGGGTGTGTGGTTGCCCCCCCGGCAGCCTCGCTCGCCCGGCAGCGGGCGGTGCCCCCGGGCGCTCCCCGGGCGGAGCCCGCAGTCGCTGCGGGGCTGGGGAGCCGCTACCTGCGGGCACAGGGACAGGGGGGCGCCGGGCAGGCAGGCAGCACTCATCCCCCGAGTGGCAGCTCCTCGGACCGGTGTCACTAAATAAATAAATCACGTACCCCTTCAGCTTTGCAACCCAGGGCTACGCAGCCTCCGTGCGTTCCCGTCTCCAAAATATATCGGCACTTGGAAATGTCGAGACAGCTAGCAGTGGTCTTTAGCTCTTACGTCCACTTCCCTGTTTGTCTTTCTCCTGTTACAGATGTAATTCCGTAGATCTATATGTATTTTATGTATAATTCCATAATATCATATGTCACTGCAGTGATACTTTGTGGTCTCACCCTAGTTTTATGTTTGAAAATGCTATTTAAAGAAGCCTGTAAGATAACATATTAGGCAGCTTTAAAAGCAGGTTGGAGTGTGGGGTGGACTTAAATTCGATGTAAATGAAAGGGTAAAAAAAAAAAAAAAAGAAACAAAACCAAGCCCAAACCAAAACAAACCACATAGTTTTCAGTTAGGAAAAAAAATACACTTAAACAGACACACATACAAATGTGCAATCTTAGATTCTGGTCAGTATTTAAAAGCAGTATAATCAACAGGAAGGAGCACTTACCTATTGAAAAGGATGGTTTAATAATATATATTTATATATATTAGCTTTATGTCTTCCCAATAAAATGTACACAAAATACCCCCTTCGATCAGATTAGTTCCCATATTAGCCTGGGTAAGAAAAAGCATTCTAAAGAGTGGAGGAAAAAATGTATAAAAATGTTGAAAGAACCTACAGTTCCTTATTAGGCGAAGATACAATATTTATTCCTTGTCTCCTGGGATGAAGCTCCTCTATCTATTGTCCTCCCAGTTCTCAGTGCTGATGCTTAATTTTCAAAACTTCTATATTACCAAGGGACCTACGACATCAGCCAAAGAAATACCCAGCAAGTACAAAATCTGATCCAGGGAGCAGCTTTTGTGCAGAGGGAAAATTTTGTTCCTACAGGTTTTTAAGGAGGTGCATGGAAAAGCGAGAGATCTGATCTATGCAGATACATTGCAAATTCTCTCTGTCTGTAGAGATTTTTTCTAAAAAAAATTGGGGAAATACATGAACTTTGGATTTTTCAATTTTTT